TTACGATCAAATTTAATAAATGTAAAAATAAAAATACTTTAGTTATCACTATGTAAACTTTTAATTCTTACTAAATACTATAAATTGTACATATAAGTAAATTTGTAGCTTATATTTAGAGTTACAAATCAGTATATAATACTATATGCTGATCTTTAATCAAACTCGAACCAGATTCGAACTCATATAATAGTTTGATTCAAGTTCAGTTCAAACTTCGAACCTTTCTTGAACTCAAGCCAAAGTCTGGTTCGAGTTCAGTTCGAATTTTGAATCAAACTTGAACTCAGGCAAAAGTCTGGTTCAGTTTAGTTCATAGGAACACTAACCTTTACTCTCCCACAATTCTTTCATATTATTATTTCTTTTCAAGAAAACACAATTTTCATAGAAATTGACATAGATCTTAGATATCCCTCTTCTCTCTTAATATTTTCTTTATCAGTTTATACCCTCTTCCAACTCAAGTTCTTATTTATAAGCTAATTTAATGATTAGTGAACAAACTTGTAATAATAGATTCAGTCTTAGAATTTTAAATATTAAGCTAATTTTTATGAAAATTAATAAATAGATAGATTTTATAGAATAAGACATTTTTAATTAGTGATTCAAATTTGAATCTGTTATAAAAAAAGTTCTTCAATATGAGAAATCTACTAATTGTAAATTTTGATTTAAATCACTTTATTTCACAAAATAATCTGTTACAAAATTATTTTTAAAAAATATTAGTGTTATAAGTTTTCAAAAGAACACTTTTATTTTGTTTAAACTAATAGTCATGAAAATAAAAATTCTAATAAGTTAATTTTCATGTTCTATTACCATCAGAAAATTTTTATATTTAATTATTATTCAATAATTAACTATTATTGATTATTAATAATCAATTGCAATCAGATATAATTGATAATATTGAAATCAAATATAATTAATTTTTTGTTAAAATTGATAAATATTTATAATTGATGATCATTAATTTTAATTAATCAATTAAAATTGATTTTAAATAATTGTAATCATTACTGATTAATAAATAATAATTAATTAATTATAATCAATTACTTTGTTAATTTATCTTACACAAGTACATGTACAATATTAGAAAGCGTTCAAAATTTAATTCTTGATATCAATTCAATAGATATTTCAAGTAATATTTTATTAATATAATTATAATTGAACAAATAAATAAAAAAATTATTGCACAAAAAAATAATACATTTAGAAGATTTGCCATTCTAATTTGATGATCACCAAATCTATTTTGACTTTTTTTTATATTTTTGATAACAATGTCTTGATTTTCTATTGTTCTTTTTTGTTTCTCAAACATTGCTTTTATTTCTTTCATTTTTTCCATCATTTTTTCATTCCTTCTTTTATTTCTTTCATCAATATTTCATCTGATTTTTTGAACTGGTATCTGGAAATGTCATCACACATATCTAATATGTTTGTGAGCAATAAATTATGATTTGATGAATCTACTTTGTCTATAACATCCAATGAATAACCATTATGAATTGAGGTTACAAAGATTCCCAACACATTGCTCTTCCTATATCTTGATATCATCCCTTCAAAGGCATCAATGTCACTGGTGCCAACTTTTGCTGTTGAATAATTTTTGCACTGAACTAAAAGTGTATAACCTTTATAATTTCCAAATATCCACACCACCATCTCCATCCAACATCCTATATGAAAAGTATGAAAGATTTTATAAGTAAATATTATCATTATCATCAAGGTAAATACCAAATGCTATATTGAATCTTTATGCATTTTTTTAATAATGTAAAAATATTTTCTTATCACTTCAACTCTTAAAAAAGTAACATTTAGTATAAATGGAAAATGTCTTGGTCACAAAAAAACGATTTAATTACACTCATTATAGAAAATATTATCGTTATATAACTTTAAAAAACTTCACTACGACATCGAGAGTTGTATTACGTAATTGGTTCTCCCCTGTCAACGTATAATCTGGGGTTGTATTAGTTTTCATACATAGCGATAGTCCCATTTTACTTAAGATGATATCGACAAAGAAACGAATTAATCATTTTTTAATATTTAGAATCAAATCATGACGCAAACACACAGAAACACGCTATTTGGTATTTTAATCGTGTTTTTCTAAAGCTTAAGCAGATCAATCATTTCACGTATTTGTTCGTCTGAAAATTTTCCCGCTAGTCTAATCACATAATTCAAGTCAGTTATAGCTGCAATGGATCTTTAATGAACATTAATGAAATCAATTTATAATTACGATGGAATCATCATTTTCGCTTCATCCAATTCTACAGGACAGAGATTACACAATTGTGCGAGTTCGTATGAATGTAATTGACGGTATTGGGATAACGCTCTATTTATATTATCATTAAAGGGATAAACGAATAAATATGCATATAGATGTAGATTTAAACATAAAAAATATACGTGCCGTCTAATTGCAGCAGCCGATTCTTGATTTCTAAATTTTCTTGTTCGAGTTTTATCCAAGTATTCCATAAATTTCTTGGATAAGCTAAATAAATGAATAGATTCATCAATACTAATTTAAATCAAAATACATCGTACAATATAAATTATAATACAGACTTGTTCCGTGCATGATCTGTTCTTTCTAAATAAAGCCATACTTCTGAGTTAAAGAGACATATCGCGTTATTGAAATCTGCTTTTTTATCAAAAATTGTGATCGATAAGAAATAACATTAATATAATCATTTGGTATATCAGTAATAACTAGGGGATTAAAAGATCTATAGAATCCTCAAAGGTTCTTATTTTACAGATTCTGTGGGAATCTTTAATGAACACCGAGGTTCCTTCAGTATTCTGGTAATTTCTTTCACCAAATCTGATGAATCCTCAGGGTGGTAGACGTTCCGGATCCTTTGAAGATCTTAAATTCAAATTTGTCATTGACACTAGCCTTCACCAAAGTTAAGTTTAGTCGCATCAGGTTCTGGCGGTGGTTCACAGCGTTTTGGAACAATGAGTTGATATCTTCGCGACATATTCATATTTTTACTGCTTTGAATATTTTGATTATCTTAAAAAAAAAAAACAAACGAGCCGAAGTGAAAAAATAAGTAGGCGAAGGAATAATGATATAATATGCGCCATTAATGACACACATTGATGCATGATTGATTGCAAATCTTATTGTTACGTACGTATTGATAACTACATGTCATGTACGTATAACGATAATGATAATGTTAGCTAATTTTGTCGACCTTAAAATTCCGGTAAGGCTCTTTTTTTAATTTCTATTTTTTAAATTCTCTCTTAAACAATAAAGTGCATTATGCGTTAAGTTCTAGAATAATTTAATCCAAAAAAATGTATATAAAGTTTTCAAGTACATCAATAAAGAATCAGATTAATTGCATCCAAGTAATTTATAGACTTAAAAAAATTGATTGTGATCACCGATTGGACATTGATACATGTATTATGTATTACGTAATGGAATATTGATTAATTGAAAACACTACTGTTGAAAAAGCAAATATTGATACATAAGTTTTTAAGATATATATGTGTTATAGTTTGTGACAAATAAACAGTTGGTGATAAATAAGCCATCATCACATGTGACAAATAACTTTGTATTTGCACAACAGACCAGGTTGCTTTATAAATTGTACAAAAACCTCTTTTTGCAAGATATTCTTTTTATTTAATTATTTTTTTTCGCTTCGATGATAAAGATGTTTTAAATCATTGACTAATCTCGCTTTTTCTTTTTTTAGCCAAAGATCCTATATACATTTATACAAGTTAATTAACAAAGGCGAATTCAGCTAATATAATTTTGATATACAAGTTGTGATAATTGAGTACAAAAAATTCAAATACAAAATTCATAAATATAAAAAAACTTATTTAGAGTAAAAACCTTTAAATTGATATTATCTGAAATACTTCACATTCATCAAATTTAAAAGTAATACGTTCATCCTTGCCTCCAAGCAAACCATACTCGTAGGAATAAGTTTGTCGACAACTGCTAACGTAATCTCTTTTACCTAATTTAATTTGTAAATCAAAACCAAATCCAATAGCTGGTAACAAATAACCAAACAAAGGTGCCCTGTTTCTTTGACATCTACTTAATAACTCTTTATTATTATCCAGATCAAATGAGTAAAGAAAACTAGGAGACATATTATTAAAATAACGACCTGGTTGCCAAGATGTAGGATTGTAACCACCAATTATCTTTGAATGGTCCTTCAAACGAACAACTATGACTGTTGGACCTTGTCCATCGCACAACCGATGAAATTCTTCAATTTCAAATCCATCACGACTACCACGAAATAATAATTTTAAGTTCACTTCGCCAATTTGAGTTTTATCTTCACTCTTAACCCACATTTTAATCTTGCTCATTTGTTGATTTGATAAAATAAAAGAATAACATCGTACAGAATGTTGAAGTTCATTTTTTGGATTCGAGTGTCGTTTTTCTATATCTTGAACTAAAGTCTCCGGCAATATTTGTGAATATGGCAAAACTTTGTTGAGAAAATCCGTATGGTCGATATGAAAGAATCGAATATATGACAAACAATTTTGGAGAGTTAACTTTAAATGATTGAATTCGTTTTGTGTCCAAGTCTCAATCGGAGAATCCAATTGAGAAGCTTGTGCGATTCCCCATTCAATAACTTTATTCCAAATTTCAATTTCCGTCAGATGTAAATGATCATTTTGAAGCAATAAAACAAGAATCGGTTCTTCAAGTTGAGTAAAGTCAGACAAGCCGAAGATTATTCCAGGATTTCTACATGCAACATCGATACAAAAGTTTTGCAAAAGTACAAAATTATTGTACTTAAAAGCAATTTGAATGACTGTGTAAAGGTTTTCTGTAACTAACGCTTCCAAATGTTTATTAATATAAGTTTGGATATATTCAACTAAACCATCCAGTAGCAACTCGTCTGCAGCAATCATTATATCTAACACGGTGAATAAGCCATGATATTCCAAATTGATTTCTCCACTATAAAAATATCTATTATGTCGTGTCGTCGTAATCAAACAGTTAATTGTTACGTAATGTTAATTATTTTTTATAGTTAGTAGTTTTAATTTACCTTAACAAAATTTCAAAAATCATAGGGGTTATATTCGGCTTTTGGAAGCTGATTAATTTATTCACTTCTCTTTTAGTCCAGACATTCGACAAAGCTGTCGCAAAATATGGAGATTGTGCTACCAAAATTGTCAAGTGTGCCGAAAACGTTTTTTGTTTGTTTGGTTCGCCGACAGTTATCAAAATGTCATGAAAATCTGAATTTTCGTATAGTTTAACGAGATTATTGTTATGGGATTTCAATAATTTTTCTTTAGCGTCAGACATTTTTGTAGATTAGCGTTATGTAGTTTATTATCGTTATTGATGAATACGTAGAATATTTCGATTTGTCCACAAGTGATCGGCAGTTACGAACGTACATGCCACTAAGAAATACAATGTACGTACGTTTATGTACTAGGTAAGTCTAAAATCGGCAATTTGAGCAACATTATTACCGTAAATCGCTGCATAAAAGACTCGGGGTCTTACATTTCCAGTATCGGTATTGGCCAATTTTTTATATGACTGGTCATAAGTCATAATAAAATTGATAATTAATATTGTAAAAAACCGACAAGCAAATAACGAAATTTGGAAGTTTCTAAAACCATACGCCGTAATCTTCATAAAAATGGGTTTTTTGGTCGGGTTGGACTAAGAAACCTTTTATATCGTAGGAAAACCATCAAAAACGATCAAAATGGTGTCTAGAGAGAAAAGATTGAATGGGAATCAGTAATTTGGAGTGATGAATCAAGATATTTAATATTCAGAAATGATTCATGACAATGTCGACCCCATGAAAAATATGACGTTGATTGCCTTCTTCCTAGTATGAAATTAGGTAATAGTATAAGGATGTTTATTCAATACACTTGGATCACTAATCGAAGTTGAAGTACAATAACCGGACAAAAATATGTAGTAATACTTGAACAGCATCTTAAACCATTTTTAGATGAATTGCCAGTTAGTTCTGTTCATCTTTTTCAAGATGATAATGCTCCAGTTTACAGAAATAATCCGGTTAATGAATGGAAAGAGAGAAATCTAATAACTTCGCTTCCATGACCTGCCCAGAGTCCTGATCTAAATCCAATTGAGCGTTTATGAGATGTTTTGGAAAGACGAATTCGTGTACGACCAATCCAATTTGTCCTAAAAATCAAGAATTGATGGATGCACTTGCAGAGAAATTTTAAAAAATTTTGCTGAAAGTATGCCGAGAAGAATGCAAGCTGTGATTGATACAAATGGGTATCCAACCCGATATCAAAGTATATGTATGGATAGCCTACTTTGCCGAATAAAATGATATATTTTTATTGTAGTTTATTTAAAGAGACTGAGTGTACACAAATTACTTATAAAAATTCAATTAAAATTTCGAATTGTTTATTGCGAGTTTTGTGTTGTAACGAAGCTCTTCCAAATCAACCTACGTAAGTAACTAGAAACAGTAACGGGTAACGGTAAACGGTAATTGTTCTCCTGATTCGGAAGGTAAAGATTTAGCAAATACGGAATTTTTCTATCAACGAGAAGAGGACGACTATTGAAAATAAATAATAAAGATACTAGTACATGTATAATCAAAAATTTGCAATAATCGAAATCGAATATAAATTTTACCGTTACATCCATGTCATTTCTATATTATCTGTTGTTTGACGTTGGTGTAAAATGTCAGCAAAAAAATCGCATAAAGTCATGTGCGCTTCTTTAACAATACAGCTCTGTAATACATGTGGCGGATTAAAATGAAACTAGATTCGATAATTATAGGTCAATATCGATATGCTCTGACCTAACCCTAACCCTTCTCTGAAATTTTTATCCCATAAAAAAAGAGCCAAATTTTAGTTTGATTTGATTTTATTATAATCTGATTTCGTTTTAATCTGTCATAATACATGTACGTATTAAGCAACGGCAGTAAACGCAAACGTTGAGTCTTAGCAAATGATATCTTTATCTTCGTATGATGCAAATGATTGGCTGGAGTACGCTAAATCATCAGAACAAATAAAATTCTTGAATTTTAATGAATTTTCCGATAAAGAAGTAATCGGAAATGGAGCGTTTAGTGAAGTCTATAAAGCCGAGTCGAAAGATGGAGATTTAATTGTTGCTTTAAAAATCCTTTATATAAAAAATCAAACGTAACATGAAGAAGTAAACAAACAGTTTATTAAAGAGGTATCATTTCATTTGAGTATTGAAATATCTAAATTCAAGACTAACGCTAATGATTTTATTCTATAGTTGAAATGCCTTATTCGAATCAATCATCATCAAAACATCATTCGCTTTTACGGAATCACTCAAGGTAAAATATATTGATTTTTTAAAATCAAATATAATTTCATTAATAAATTAATAAAAAATGTTCTTCAGATCCGATATCTAAAAGTACATGCTCGTTTTGAAATATGCTAACGGCGGAACTCTTAAAATGTTAATTTCTACAAATTGAGTTTGGCTAAACAACTCGCTAAAGGAGTAAGTGTATACATGATGCAGGCATTATTCACCGAGATTTAGTAAGGAAATTTTATAGATCTATCGCATACGTAATTCTAAATTTGATTTATAAAAACTAATGCTGAACTGTTTCTTAATAGAATACTTGTACATAAGGGAAAAATTAAAATTTCAGACCTTAGGCTATTCAAAGCTTTCAAATGATCAATCTCACTCGAAAACCGATTTGGATGTGATAGGTTATATTGATCCCGCATTTCTAAGAGATACGTATGTCTAATTTTAGACGAGATGAAAAATCTGATATTTTTAGCATTGGTGTGCTGTTTTGGATTATTTCCAGCGGTCGTCTTCCTCTTAACAAATATAGATATGCTTTTGGTTCATCAGAAAAAGAAAAAAGAATTTGCGGAACTCCTGATAAATACGTTAACCTTTATCAAGCATGCTGGAACAAATCGCCCAAATATCTATGAAGTAAACAAACAACTTAAAGAAATAGAATGGCCAACCGCTTCGTCTACTTTAGCTCCAGAAGAACCGGATATTATTACTTTTGATACTAAATTGGTTTCCAAAGATGAAGATGAAATTCAAATACATGTAGAATTTGAAATTTCAAATGATGAGGACAATTACGAAATTATCTATGAGTTATTAACAATGCTAAGTAATTTACTCGACAAAAGCGAAAATTTAGATAAAATATGTGCCAAATTACAATCGTATTACGACTTAAACGATCAGAATTCTTTTGAAATCCAGAAATATTTGGAAACTAATACACGATATAAGCTACTTTTAGGGTTTCTTCTTCAAACCAGATTCATAGTTGCAAAGGATGTTGCATTAGCATTGAATATCTATATAGAATTATCAAGTGATAACAACCCTTTAGCTCAATTCTTGTTAGGATATACCTATCAAAATGGAATCGGAACACAAAACAGTGAGAAAAAGCGTTTGAGTTGAGTGGTATTTGAAATCAGCAGAGGGTGAGACACAGCAGGACAAAACCATCTTGGTTGGTTTTATCTAAATGGAATCGGAACACAAAACTATGAGAAAAAAGCGTTTTGGTGGTATTTGAAATCTTCAGAGGGTGGAAATGCAACAGGACAAAACGAACTTGGTATGTGTTACATGTATAACATTGGAATCGGAACACAAAAAGAAGAGGGTGGAAACACAGCAGGACAAAACAATCTTGGTTGGTGTTATGAAAATGGAATTGGTGTTTCTAAAGATACTAGTATAAAACTGCAGCTGGTATTAGTAAATTAGCTTTTCCTGCGTTTTTTTGTTTTATTATCATATTGAAATCATTTTATTTTGCTTATTTTCGAGAGTATAGAATTTATTAAAATAAATTTTTTTCGTGTAGAATGTGTAGGCGACATTGATAAATTGGAATTTTCAGGTCCGGAAATCATAATTTGTTTATAGCACAATACGAAATTCACAAAATTTTATGAAAATTTATAGGTACGTATATCATTTATAATGTAAGGAACAAGTTTACTTAAACTACAAAGTAGATTATATTAGCATAAATTGTATTTTACAAATAATTTTAATGATGTTTTGCAAAGTGGTAGTAGGTAAACTTATGAATAGTATATGTACTAATTTAATTCCCATAATAATTAATTCAATAATAATTTCCAAGGAAAAACCTTCACATATAATAGTATAATTTCAAAATCTCATCATAATTTATTTATAACCTATTTATAAATATGAGAAACAAGATTGCTTAAGACTATTTTTATATATATACAGAATCTGTAACGTTTATGTGCTTGCCTTTTTTATAGGGTCACGATTGTCGTAAATGCTGGCTTTCCAATATAATTACTGCTGTGATGCCTTCATAGATGAAAAATACTACATACATGTACTTTATCAATATCGCTATCAACTATATAAATCTGAATGGTGAAAGTACCGTAAAGTCCCGGAAATAAGCAACCCCCAACGCCATCATTTTTAGATCGATTTTTAAAGGGGGTTGCTTATTTTCGTGGATTGCTTACTTTCGGGACTTTACGGTAAATATACCAACTGTCTAATAAATATGCAAGAAAATTGATAATTTTCTCCATTTGGATGTATTTCATTTGAAAAATTTACCAATATTGAATATCTTGCAAAGGAAGGTTTTATAAAGCATGGTTTGACGATTACACCATCATTAATCCAGGAATCGGATGGATAAATTCAAAATCATTTAGATCTGACCACTAAATTATAGTTGCGGCAGTTTCGACAGGTCATATAGTGCATAACATCTAAAGTCATCAAACATTTGTATTTTATAAAATGAATAAACTTCTTTAATAAGAAATAAATACAAAACTTAATCCGTAAATGTGCTTGAAAGGCCTATTATATCATATTCACGAATTAAATTTTGTATTTACTTCTTAGTATAGAAGTTTATCCATTTTATAAAATACAAACGTTTGATAACTTTAGATTTATTAACTGAATTTGAATATTTCCTGCACCCTTAGATAAAATCACAAAAATCATTCTTACAAATAGGGATGTTAAATAATCGAACAAGTTCAGTTTAAGTTTAAAAATGAATAATTCAGAAGCTGAACCAGTTTAAATTCTAATATCATTCTTTTTTATAACTCATTCTTTAGAACTAAAGTAAAATCTCTCTAAGTGCACCCCCTCGGGACCATAGTAAAAAACAGGCAGAGTGTGCACTTAGAGATGGTGTGCATTTATAGAGAGTAAATATATGTGTGTCTTATAACTTGGAACCAAGCCGTACTGTACATTTAGGGCGAATTTATATAGTGCGTGCATTTATAGAGGATGCACTTAGAAGTTTTACTGTAGTTTAATTAACAATCAATTTGGTTTAGCTATTAGTTATTAATTCCTTAAATGAGTTTTGATTATGTTCATAAATTATCCTTTGTTCATAAAATAAATACTGTATCGATATCGAAACAAGTACAACGATAAATATAAATTTTTCTTTTTTTTAGCAATACAATCATATCAATATTTTTTATACGTAACTATGTACATACATAACGATAATTTTACCGGAAATATTAGATGTTGTTAGTTTGAGTCGGTTCAGTTGAGTAGGTCAGAAGTTTATCAATTTAGGAGCCAGTACCTGAATTTGATTTAAAACTGATAATGAAACTGATTTATTGGAACTGTTTTCTCAAACTGTAAACTACACCAGTCGAATTCTAAATGATATAGAATAATTACATTTATTTCTAAATATAAATCATATTGGCATATTAATTAAATTTATTTTGAATATTTCAAACAAAGGTAATTATTAATTTTAAATACTTGTTTATATACAACACTTATAGATAAGAGGAGCATCTATTAAATTACTGTGTATGTAAATAATTTGGATATTTCACATACCAAAATTAATTACGTCATTGAGACCATCTACGTATAACACTAGCATATGTGGCCACTGAATATTAATGATGAATTTATCAATTTATATGTTCTACGCGAAGCAAATGGTGGTTTATTCACGTCTTTATGTAAATGGATATTTATAGTCGACCATTCCTTTTTATCAAATTATTTACATGACAGTTATTCTTTAATAATTCATATTGATGCTATTAGAAATTTTCATATGAAAAATCATTAGTTTCACCTACAATGAACCAAAAATTACGCGTAATAGTAATAGGTAAAGTTACCATACTAGTTTTTCTTAATAATATAAATTGACTGAATACTAATTATTAAAAACCTAAGATTCAATAACACGCTTACACTACCAGAATCTACACGTTGACAAACATTATTAATAAATGAACGATGTATAAGAAACTTTTTCACGAGGCTAAGTCGACTTGCTCATAATCTTCGTTTTACGATTGAATATTTGAATCAAGTTTCTTTTCGTATTTATTATAGATATTTTACTATTTTAAAAACACTGATTATTAATAACTATTTTTTTAAGAATATGAAAGCTTGTTGACTTCATGACACATAACAGTGCGATAGTTTAAATTGTGTTGCTTTTAATCAATTTTTGTTTTCCGAGCAATTTTATTTGCAAGTTTTGCGTTTATTCCGAGTACACGTATTAACGCACAAACCATTCAACTGGGCTTTTCTCTCTTTGCACTCGATAATCTACTGATCATTATCATTTCTTTTTACAGATTACTTCGCGCATGTTTAATATCTCGTATTAAACCTGGAGAATATTACTTTTATTTATGCAAGTGATACAAAGCGCGTGATAAATAAATACATTTTGATGGTTTATGGTCAGGGTTAGGGTTAGGGTTAGAGTTAGAGTTAGAGATAGGATAGGATCATATGCAAAACTCACTTCCCGACATTTTTAATTAGTGTTTCCTGTGTTGCCGGGGGGGGGGGTTTGATCAAAAATTTACACTCCCTTATCACTATATACGCATATTACATGTATATCAGCCAGTCCTTGAATCAAATGATGAAAAATAAGTCCAGGTTTCAGTTAGTACGTATGTCGTGGTTTTGATAGTCCAAATAAAAAATGGTTTTGACATGAAACGGGACACAGAAAAAAATGGCGAGATTCGAAGATCTCACAATTTATTCATTAAACTGATAAATATCTCTTGATGCAATTTTTATTTTACAAATTATTTATAAATAAATTTAATTTTCATTTTTTTAGCGCTCCGTTAAATATGGCCGAGTACATCAGCGAACAGGAGATCTTAAGCTAAGTATAAATGCCTTAAGGAATACTAACAACTTTTTTTTGCTCCAATTCCTCGAATTTCGCTATCGAAACGCGCCCGAATACACGTTCCCCGACAAGAAGGATATACGGTCCGAGAATCGCTGCATCGGAACAGGTGAGCCTAGCTTCTGTTCTACGCATCTGCAAAACGAAAGAAAAAACCGGAGTTTTGAAGATAAGCCAAAACCGGTCACCCACATATTCTTTCGAAGCGTTACGAACGAAATGCCGTCCGACTGATAATGTCCAGGAAATGCTCCGCCGCTGTCGAAGTCAAGTGCAGGCTCCAAATTGAGCTAGTCGTCGATTTACCAGTGGAAAGCATACGGTGTATATTCCGGAGAAATGGCTTATTCTCCAAAATTAAACACACAAAGCCACTGCCCAAAAAGATGCACCGAAAACGTCGACTTTCTTGACCGACGGTCGACGATTGGTGCCAAATAATTTGGTATTCGGATCGTACAGGCGAAATTATTGCTGGAAGGAGCCCGGTGAACCCTTAAAAGGCCGCCATATTACACCAACGGTAAAGTTTAGTGGTAGCACAATCATGGTTTGGGTTGCATAACTGCCGACGGAGTTAGCGAATTACGGAAAATCGACGGCAAAATGAACGTCGATAAATTAGATGAGAATTTATTAGGACCACTTTTTGTGGAAAGGACGATATCCTTTCACAGCAAATAAATGATCAGAAACGCACTTCCGGAAAAGCGAAAGATTGGTTTCGCGAAAATGAGATCGCATTTCATCTCAGTCTCTCCACTTAAATCCTATCGAATGAAGTCGATAGGCACTTGTGGAGACTTCCTGGCCCCCTTCCAATAGAAATAATTTGTGGGGAAGTTGCAATTGTGGTGTTGTATACGTAATAAGAATGGGAAAAGATTTTAGCATAAATTCGATGTTAGTACACGTACTAAGGATTGGACTCACAAGTAACTCGAGTAGTAATTTTGTTAATCATAAACAACTCAGGTAAATTCACCAAGTTACTCGAGTAAAATCATCAATTACTCTATTACGCTATAATAAATATAGCGAATATAACTCCAATACATTTGACATGTATCGGTATAACCAGGGCTGTGGCCAAATCTACAAAACTTTTTACCGAAAATATAATTTAGACATATACGTAGCTGAAACTTAGCGTTAGTTTCTACTTTATCAAACAGTTTAAGCAATTAGGGTATACGCCCAATTTGTAATGGTAATACATGTACATAAACAGGTTGAATGCGGACCAAGCTGTCAGTACAATTTCTGCTACGATCCTCAGTCACCATTTTCTTTTTTTCGATATTGTTTTACTTTACTGGAAGTGTTTCATCATGAAGTTGTTCTTGAAAGAAACTCGAAATTTGTTTTGCAACACCAAAAAAAAAAGGATAATGGGTTAATTAAAGAGATTCATGAAAAAATAAAATAAGTAAATTTACTTTGTTTGAAACAAATCAACCCTAAACATTCGATATGAATTTAATTAATATGAATTGTATTTAGAAATAGAAAGTACCCGTGTCAGTTGGAATTGAAATTAATTTCGAAGTAGTGTAAACTGCATTTAAGTGGATTTGTTGTTTTTTGTTCGTATTTGTCGGAACGCTTTTGCAATTTCATTTCCTGATCAAGTTCTTTCAATCTAGTACAAGACACACTTTAATTTTTTATGTGCTTTCGGATATTCTAAAGAGCCATAGTACTGAAAATGCAGTGTTCAGTTTCTACTTCGCAGTGAAGTTTCTTGTTACTTGGAAATTGGATAGAGGGCTCCGAAATTTACCGTACCGTAATCTTACCGAGATTTTTGGTAACGGTTCAGTAATTACCGACATCTTCTAATTACCGATCGGTAATTACCAACGGTAATTCGGTAATTTCGGTAATTACGATATTGATATAAAATATTATTCGTGAAATTTGAACGTAAAATGTCAGGTTTTAACACACTAGATGTTAATAATTAAAAATATTTGCTATGTTCTATTCTACGTATATATAAAGTTTCAGAAAATTTTGCACATTGCTTCACGAGATATTATGCGAAACGTAAATAAATCGCTTAAATGCGCTGTAGCAATTTATTTACGTTTCGCATAATATCTCGTGAAGCAATGTGCAAAATTTTATGAAATCTAATGCATACGTAGAATAGAACCTAAAAAATATTAGCATTTAGTGTGTTAAAACTTGACATTATGGTCGATTTTACGTTCTAATTTCACGAATAATATATTTGGTAAATCCAGTAATCTTTCAAAGCTTGTAAAATATTCATTATGCACAGAATTTACTATATTATTTTATATAATTTAAAATTTTAAAAAGTTTTAATTGGTACATAAAGATTCCTTGTGCTAATATATAATTTCTAATCTAAAATATTCGATGCAGTATATGTTACAAAAGAAAATATTTAATTTTAAAAATCAAAAAATATAAGCAAAAAAAAATTACCTGTAATTGCTACATAATCTTTTATTATATTAGTCAAGTGTGAACATTCCTCAGCATATCACTGTAAATTTAAAAAATCTAATTAATTGATATTCAATATCTAAAAATATTTTTAACAATAAAAACTTTTTATTTTCCACCAACACAAAATATTGTTAAGAGCTGGTATATGCTCAGCTTTAAGAAATAATCCAAGTTCATTCAAATATTCAATATGTTATTGTTTAGAAATATGAGCAACAAGATCTTTATTTAATGAATTATATACAAGATTAATATTTTCAGAATTATTGGACATATATTTTTCATAATAAATTTAAATATAATTAAAATAAAATTTAAAATATATAAAAATTTATTACTTTGTTTTTTTGCTTTAGTAACTCGGTATCTTTTTCATTAATAATTCTTCATATATTGTAATTTGAGTCTTGAATTCAAAACTATAACAATAATATAATTAATAAATTTGTTTTATATAATATATTAAATAGTATTATTTGCTATTTTCTATAAAAAAATAAAAGTTTAATACTTACTAAAAGTCTAATTAACAATATAATAAATGGCTTTTTACTTCTATCTTACTAACTATAAATTATACTCTATAAGTTTTTATTACTAATACTAATTCTGATATAAATACTATTTTGAATAGTTAATACATATTCACTTTATTATTTCTATATTATATTTCACAAAATCTTATATATAATCTCAAAATTTCTTTTAATAATATATATATTAATTGTTTAAAAGATTTTTATAAGTATTAAAACTAAGAATAATTGTCAAAATTTCTTAATAACTATTTAAATTCTATTAAAATTATAATAAACTATTAATAAATATGATACTAAAATTTTGCCAAATTTTGAAACTTGTTAAAATTGAAATTTTACTGAAATTCTAATTAATAATTAATATATAACTCATTGAATGAATTTTGATAAGCATTCTTAGTCAAAACATACTTTTTTTATTAAATTTGATTTTCAATAACACAATCTTATTACAAAATATTTCAAAATATCTAATTATCTTAATTTTGAAAAATATAATAAAAAATATTCTTCAAGATTACTTCAATCTTTGTAAACTTATCACTATTTTAAATCTATAACTATATAACAAAACATAATATATTAATCATATTAAATAATACTATATTAATACAAGTATATAATTAATTAGTGTTTATACTAAGTATTTTCTTAATATTCTTAAAGAATATTTTACTAAAAAATGCTTTCTTGACAAAGATATAAAATTATATAATTACTTTATTATTATGTCAAAATAGAAAATAATCAATTATTTAATGATAAAATATAATAAATTTATCTATTTTTTTTAAGAATTTTTCTTTAAATAATATTATCAAAATATATAAAGTTTAATAATATTAGTATATTTATAATAATTTTATTATTATTCTTATTGATTATTCATATTTATATATATACTATTAATTAATAGTAATTTGATTTGCTAATATTTTTGATATATATTAATTATTAATAATATAGTATTCTTTTATATAACTTTAATTTTCAGATACTAATATAAAGATAAAAATGTAAAATTTAGAACTAAATAAATAATTTTATATAATAAGTACTAATTTAGTATGATTAAATAAAAACTTAAATTGCTCTAAATTCTTTTTTATATATTAAATTACTAGAATCTACAAAAACAATATCTTTGATTTATAATTTAGAAATAATATAATTATGAAAAAATTTTTAAGTTTGCTCAAAAAGTGATTCAGTTTGTAATTAAAGTAATTAATAAATTTTCTGTTATCTTAAAAGAAATCTCAATAACAATTTATTAAAAAATAAATATTAATTTATATCAATGTTAAAAATAATTTTAATTAAGTTAAAAATTCAATTAAAAATAATAAAAAGAGTGATTTCTGATTAAGTAATTTAAAAATATATTAAAGAATTTAGGAGATATTAAATTTGTAATAATTTGTAAATATGCAAATTATTATATTTTTTTGATTAAATTAATAAAAATTTATAAAGAATTGCAAAAAGACTAAAAACAAGTAAATAAATATAAATTTTTATTGATTATTTTGTTATATTATATATAATTAATTACATATCACATGATTTTCTATCATATAATTTTTTTGATGTTCTGATATTGTTACAAAATTTTTTATATAACAGGTTATTATATATATTTATTCATTTTGAAAATATAATTTTAAATAATAATAATTATCTAAAAAATAAAATAACTAATTAAAAAGATATAGTAAAGATAAAAAAGTAAAATAAAATATAAAATAAAAGTAAAAGTAAAAGTAAAATAAAAGATAAAATAAAGATAAAAGTAAAATAAAAGATAAAATAAAATAAAATAAAAGATAAAAGTAAAATAAAAGGTAAAATAAAAGATAAAGAGTAAAATAATTTAAGAAATCTTTACTATTATATAAATATTTTATGTTTTTTAATTATTTTTGAAATTAATAATTTTTATATTATTATTATAATAATATATCAAACTTACATACAAGTGGCTTTAAATTATATTATATTAAACAAAATACTGATAACTTTATATTATATTATGTCAAACAAATTACTATTATTAAATTTTTAGTTTTATATAGTATATACAATTTATTAAGAAATAAATACAAAATTTAATCTGTGAATATATTCAAAAAAGATCTATTTTATTATATTTATAAATTAAATTTTGTATTACTTCTTAATAAATAAGTTTATATATTTTATAAAATAAATATTTGATGAATTTAAATTTTATATATTATATATTATATTATATTGAACAAATTATTGTTATTAAAATTATTAATTTTGAATATTAAGTATTTTGATTTTGTTATTTTATTATTTTGTTATTTCTTATTTGTAAGAAAAACAAAGTGAAAAAATTTTGTTATTGTTATTACTAATTATATTATTTTAGCTCTAAAAAGCTTTATATAAATATAGAGAATTAGTCTTTCAAACTCATTTTATTATTTATTATTTTATTCTTTATTATTTTTATTCTTTTTTTTTTATTTTTACTCTTCTATAACTTATATTATTATTATTAGTATTATATTTTTGAATTATTATAATTTCTGTAAAAATTAATATAGAACTTAGATACTTCTTTTTTAATATTTTTATTAATTTAATACTTTCTTCCAATCCAAATTTAAGTTTGTAAGCTAATTTAATGATTAGTAAACAAACTTATAATAATTTGATGCTTTCTTTGTGAATTATTTCAAAAGCTCCTCTTTTTATTAATATTTTCTTTATAAATAATTATTATACTTTTATCAAAAAATCTATTAGCTCATATCTTAATACTTATTTAAAAATTCAATATTAAAAAATATCACTTTAAATAACTCAATAATACTTTTGTCACATTTATTTTTTATTTTCTAATATAATAACTAAATTCTCTAGCTAATTTTCTTATCTGAATTCAAGAACAAGATGCAATATCTGGATCTTTTATTACTAAATAAATATTTTTAAAGCAAATTTTGTTATTATCAGAACTGAAAAATTACAAAAATAAGTAATTTAACTATTGAATACTTTAATTTATTAAAACAAATATACTTTTGATTACTAATTATTCCTAATTAAATACTTGAAGACTTACAATTTAGAAT